GGACGTGTTTTGGGGTTACCCCCCCCTCCCCAGGGGGCTGTTGGGCAGACTTTAGGGTTACCTCACCCCCCCCAGGTGGATTTTAGGGTTACACCCCCAGATGTGTTTCGGGGTCACCCCCACACTCCACCAGGGGGGTTTTTGGGTTACGTCCCCCCCGACGGATTTTAAGGTTTCCCCACTCCCTCAACTGGATTTTAGGGAGTCCCTCCACCCCCCAGACGGACTTTGGGGTTCCCCCAGGCGTGTTTTGGGGTTCCCCCAGGGGGGTGTTGGGCTCGGGGTTACCTCTTGGCACAGGCCATGGAGCAGAAGCGCTTGGAGCGCTTGAACTTGTAGGCGAAGTCGACGCGGCCGCAGAGCTCACACTTCAGCTTCGGGGGGTTCCCCTCCTCTTTGGACTCTGGGGGGCGTGGGGGGACACCCAGAGAGAGAAACCAGCCAGCTCAGCCCCCCTGCTCCCCGGGGAGGGGGTCTGGGGGGCGTTCAGGGGGGGATTTGGGCGCTACCTTGCAGGTAGGGCTCCTCCATGTCCGAGTCGGTGGTGGTGGTGTTGTCCTGCGGCGGGAGCTTGTCCGGGAGCAGCTCCTGCGCATACTGTTTGTGCAGGGCCCCCACCAGCAGCGACGAGCGCCCCACCTGCCATGGCAGGGCACACGTGGGGGGGCTGCCCCTGCCCCCCCAGCCCGGGGACAGCCCCCCCTGCGGCCGCGGAGCCGGGAGGAACCGCCCGACTTCCCAAACCCAGGAAGGAGGAGGAGGGTTGTGGGACTGGGGGGGGCTCAGCCCCCTCCCGGGTGATGATAATGTGGGTGTGATTTTCATTTCCAGCCCCCTAAACTTGAGAGACACCCCCCCCACACACACACCCACAGAGCTGGGAAGAACCTGCCTGACCTCCCTAATCCAGGAAACCAGGAATGACAAGGGATGCAGTGCCGGGAACGGCTCAGCCCCTTCCTGGGTGACAAAGAGCTCAATAAGGTGGGTGAGGATTTGGGGGTCACAACTGTCTGGGTGCCCCATTCCCAGCTCCCTAAAGTTGGGAGACTCCCCCTCCTGCAGCCACAGACACAGGAGAAACCTTCCAATTCCCTGAATCCAAGAATGAGGAAAAGGGATGAGAGCAGGGGATGCAGTACCAGGGATGGCTCAATAAGGTGGGCGAGGATTTGGGGGCTCACAACTGTCTGGGTGCCCTATTCCCAACCCCCCAAATCCAGGAACCCACTTCCCAATTCCCCAAATCCAGGAACAAGGACAGGGAAAGGGGGATACACTACTGGGAACGGCTCATCCCTTTCCCGGACAATGAAGACCTCAATAACGTGGGCGAGGATTTGGGGGTTCCCAATTGTCTGGGAATGGGGCAGCCAACCCCTCAAATCCAGGAGGAAGGACATGGAAATGGGATACATTACCTGGAATGCTTCTGCCCCTTCCTTTATGCCTCATTCCCAACACCCCCAAATGCAGGAATAAGGGCATGGATACAGGGATACGTTACCTCGAATGCCTCAGCTCCTTCCTGGGGGATGAACCCCTCAATAACACGGGGGAGGATTTGGGGTTACCCCTCCAGACCCCCCAGATCCAGAAGCCCTTTTGGGTGCCCCATTCCCAACCACCCAACCCAGGAGCCCCTTCCCAAACCCCCCCAAATCAAGGCATAAGAGCATGGGCTGTGGGACACATTCCTGGGAACAGCTCAGCCTTTTCCTAAGTGATGAAGCCCTCAGTGATGTGGGTGAGGATCTGGGGGGTCAAGATGGTTTGGGTGCCCCATTCCCAACTCCCCAGATCCAGGAGCTCATTTCCAGCCCCACAATCCCTGGTACACAGATCTGGAAAGTGGCATACATTCCTGGGAACAGCTCAGCCTTTTCCTGGATGACAAATCCCACAATAACACAGGGGAGGATTTGGGGGTTCAAGATGGTTTGGACGCCCCAATCCCAACTCCCCAGTCCAGGAGCTCCTTCCCAACACCCCGAGCCCCAGAATCCAAGTAGGGACAGCGGGATACACAACTGGGAACAGCTCAGCCCTCTCCCGGATGAGGAACCCCTGGATAACACATGGCAGGACTTGGGGGTTCAAGCTGCTCCGGGTGCCCTATTCCCGACTCCCCCACCCCAGGATCCCCTTTCCCACCCCTGCAACCCCCGGGATACGTTACCGGGAAGGGCTCGGCGCCCTCCTGGATGACGAAGGCCTTGATGACACAGGTGAGGATTTGGGGGTTCAAGATGATTTGGGTGCTCCATTCCCAACCCCCTAAATCCGGGAGCCCCTTCCCAGCACCCCAAACCCCAGAACAGAAGGGGGACAGGGGGATGCCTCAATGGGAATGGTTCAGCGCCTTCCTGGATGACAAACCCCTCGGTAACACAGGGGAGGATTTGGGGGTTCAAGCCATTCCCGACCCCCCCTTTCCCCCCAGGATCTCCCTTCCCAGCCCCGCAACCCCCGGGATACGTTACCGGGAAGGGCTCGGCGCCCTCCTGGATGACGAAGCCCTCGATGACGTGGGTGAGAATCTGGGGTTTCACGATGGCCTGGGGCGGTTTGTTCTCACCATTGTGGGGGGCGGCGCCGGCGACAGTGGCGGCAGCGCTGCCGGAGCCCGAGGTCATCCCGGGAATGCGGGGCTGCGCATGGAGGCGCTCGGGGGGCTCTGGGGACCCCCGGGGGGGACAGAGACACAAGGAGCGGGGTCAGGTGACGGTGACGCGGGGCCGTGATTTCCATACAGCTGGCACGGGCGGCAGCTGCGCCGCTCCCAGGGACCCCGGGAGGGGGGAGAGGGGGAAAGGGAACCCCGGAATAGCGCGGACACCCCAGGAAGGGCCGGGAAAGGCTCGCGGAGGCACCGGGTCTGCCCCGGGGAGGCCCCAGCCAGCCTCGATCTCCTCCAGTAACACCCCAATCTCCCCCAGTAAATCCCCGATCTCCCCCAGTAAATCTCCAATCTCCCCCAGTAAATCCCCGATCTC